CTGCCACCCCTGCATCCAATGATTTAGTGACCTGGTCGTAAAAGGCCACCAGGTTGGTCTGACAGGACCTGCCGCTGATGAACCCATGCTGGTTGCCCCTGAGCATGCCGTTCCCTGCTGGCCCCTCCTGGATGCGTGCCAGAATAATTTTCTCGAACAGCTTGGAGTAGGAATGACCAGTGCTAGTATCTGCTTCTTGTTAAAATATCCAATCCTTTAATTCTTACTGTATTTTAAAATATATCATTATAAGATACCACAAATAATTAATTTTCTCTTTTAAAATGTGTTAATAGATTTAGAACTCTTCAGAGTATTACATTTAAAGCAAATGGTCCTTAATTGCACAAAAAAGTGTAAGCTATTTTACTATGAAGATGTTAAGTTCCTTATTGCTCAATTAGGTACAAAAGAACAGCTAACAAAAGAAAATGATGAGTGGAAACAAAAGAACGTTGCATTAGAAGAGCAGAAGACTGAATTGGAGGTTCGGATGAGTGCTCTCAAATCACAGTATGAAGGTCGTATATGTCGGCTGGAGAGAGAGCTAAGAGAGCAACAAGAGAGACACCATGAACAGAGAGATGAACCACCAGAGTCCACTAATAAGGTACAAGATATGTGAAGCTTTTGTTAGCTATGTTATGTATAGTGTACATACATTACACTCACCACCCCAATACCAAAAAGTCACGGAAAGGAGGAAAATAGCTTTTCAAAGCATTTAGAAATTAATTTAGAAAATGAGTTCCAATGGGATTCAAGCTTCCTGACTAGGATTTATTGCAAGAGTTTTTCACACATTGCTTCTCTTATGTTCCTGTCTGCAGAAAATGTGTCGAATGTGGCACTTGAGAGTTTGGTCCTGCTGAAGTATATTCTTTCTTCCAGTAGGACAGAATTAATATATATCATTTTGGGCTTTCAAATTGCTCACAATGCTTAGGAGCAAGCATAAAGCTTGGTATTCTGGAAAGTCTGCATGTGGAGGAATTGAAGGTTTGGGAGAATTGCTTGCTGAAGTGGTCCTTCAGAGAATTGCAATTTTTAAATTGTTTTAGAAAGCCTCTTAGCTTATACTTTGAGAAAACAACATGCAACTCAAAGGAATGTTTCTTTTTTTGATAGGTTTCAGAACAGCAGCGGCAGATCACACTCAAATCTACACCAGCTTCAGGTGAAAGAGGAATGTGAGTTGCAGGGGTTTTTTGTCCAGTTGCCATGTCTATCCTTTTTAGTTGTGAACTCCAGAAATGAAAAAGACCTTTTGATAGAATTTTGTTCAACAGCTCTAGGAAGTTACCAACTGGTTTAAGGCACCTTAATGCTAATGCTGACATATGCACTGCTTCTGAAGCAAATTTTAATCAGTTAAATAATTTACTGCTAAAATGTAATATTTAACCTTAAAGCCATACAGAGAACTAGAATTAGCCTCTTCTAAAGAATTAAAAGCAGTTTGGGACACTTAACCAGCCTCTAAAGTGTTCCACAGTGTAGGGCTTCAAGGTATTTCTGACCTATTTTTTATTTCTTGTTGCTAAGTAAAAGCAAACTGTTCTGAAAGGGAACTTGAATGAATAAATGGAAAATAACAGAAGATAAAGTGATGTCAAATGAAAGAAGTAAACATGCTGAAAAATGGAGAATAGTTTGTTTTTTTGTTTTTTTCGTCACCTTTTTAATATCTTTTTTGAGTTGATCTCCCTTTAAAGTAAGGCCTCTAACCTTGAGGTATGACTAAAAATCATTCCAGCCCCTATGTAAAAGATCTCCCTGTTTGAGCATGTTAGCTGAATGCCGCACAGTTAATGATGCTTCTTCGAAATGTCAATAGAATATTCACAAATTTTAAATTAAATAACACCTTTGTAAGCTGATCTAGTTGATGAGGTTATGAAGAGGTGTCACTGAGGGCCTAATTCAGTCTGCAGAACCCATTTCAACTAGCCATGATGCGTAAGAATGCTCGCTGAACAGAATTATAGAGGTAACTTGACTGTGCCATGGCTTATTTTAAACATTTTAAAACACTAATATCCACATTTGATATTTTTTACAAGTATATCAAATTCAGTCTTTGAAATCGGATCTCACTGGTGTTTGCATAAATAAAATCAGTGTCTTGTTTCCAGTGCTAGCACTTCAGATCCTCCAACAGCAAACATTAAGCCAACTCCTGTTGTGTCAACTCCAAGTAAAGTAACTGCTGCTGCAATACCTGGGAATAAGTCTACTCCACGAGCTAGTATTCGTCCAATGGTTACTCCTGCTACTGTAACTAATCCAACTACTACTCCAACAGCTACGGTTATGCCTACAACACAGGTGGAAACCCAAGAAGGTGAGTTTTCCGAATGTAATGCAACCATCTTTGTTACCCTTTAAAAGGATACATTTATCTTGGAATCTGGTTAATTTTGGAGTTAGATATCATTTTGGGTATCCCATGATCTTGATTTTCCTCCAACGCTTGTTTGAGCAGTCTTCATTTTTTTTTTAAAAACATTTTCTCATTTATTCCTGTAGAAAACAGATACCAGCCAAAGTAGAAATAGACTGACTTTATAAGAGGAAATTTTAAATCTGATTACCCACTGCTTTCTAAAGTGAAGAGAATATCTAATAATATCAGGGTAATTAAGTGTGCTAATACTTGCCTTTCAGCTATGCAGTCAGAAGGACCTGTGGAACATGTTCCAGTCTTTGGAAGTACTAGTGGGTCTGTACGTTCTACTAGTCCTAACGTCCAGACATCTCTCTCCCAACCCATCTTAACTGTACAGCAACAGACTCAAGCTACAGCTTTTGTGCAGCCGACTCAGCAGAGTCATCCTCAGATTGAGCCAGCCAATCAAGAACCATCCCCCACCATTGTAGAAGTTGTACAGAGCTCACAGATGGAAAGGCCCTCCACTTCTACAGCAGTGTTCGGTACAGGTTAGTTTCATTTTCTAGTAAAAGGCATTGAGGTATTGAGCCTCTTCAGATCTTCGTTTAAGGTTTTTGGCCCCATTTTATCACCACTACAAAAGTGCTGCCCTTTTAAATTTGAAGTCAGTAGATGAAAACACAGGTAAACACTAACATGCCCATGTAGGCTCGTGTTTTAGTTTAAATTTACTTGTTTCAAAATTTGTATGATTACCCTTTCTGTCCCCCTCTATTCTTTACTGGTTTGGTTATAAAGATGTAGAGTTCTCTATACATTGTTGACTAAATTCTACAAGCCTCTAGTATAGTATAGAAGAGCAAACTAAAACAACTGAACAAAACCTGGCATTGTATCTCTACTCATTCCACACCAGTCTAAATCTAAATAGAATTTAAAAAAAACAAACAATGTTTTACTGCTATACGGAGTACCTGTTGCTGAAAGAGCTGTTTACATGGGAAATATGTACCCCCTTTAAAATTATGGGGTATTTTTAATTGCCTTTGTTACCCATTCAGCTGTGGGCAGTCAAGCTGTTGATTGGAAAAACAGCTGAAAACTCAGGCAAATCAATTATCTTAATTGTACCCTACTCTTAGATTTTGGGTTCTGCAAAACTGCAAATGGGAGCCAAGTCCCTGAAGGTAGAGATGAAGCTGAAAAGGCTCTGCTGTGCTCAAACCCAGAAGAAAATCTCACTATTCCAGTCCAATCCTAATTGCTATGATTGAGTTTAGGGTGAGAAATAGTGTTCAAGAGAGGTCTTGCACCATTTGATTGTCTTCCAGTTCTCTGAGTACTTTTGTGTAGCATAGCACTTTTGAAAGTAACAATAAAGGGTTCTTTCAAGTTTCAGCTACTCCAAGTTCTTCATTACCCAAGCGTCCACGAGAGGAAGAAGAGGACAGCACAGTAGAAAACTCTGAACAAATTTCAGAAGAGACGGTGGATGTTCCTCTTCCAAAGAAACTGAGGGGTATACAGAGAGTGGAACCTGAGGTATGTAAGAATGGAAAATATTATCAATACAGTAAAAGCTGCGTTATCTGGCACCTTACAAACCGGCATGCTCTACTAACTGACATGCCAATCAATGTGGTAAAAACAAAACAGGAAGTGCCCACTGTGGCACTTCCAGTTTTGCCGAGCCCTCACGCCCTGGGACAAAGCAGCCTTTCCCCAGTGTGCCCAGGGCCTCCCTCCCTGTTCCCCGGCACACTGACATGGCGGGACAGGTGGTGGTGCACCAGATGCGGCGGGAGGGGCAGCATCCTGAACAGGCACAGACACCTGTTCAGGCCTCTCAGGTAACCAGCATACTTGGTTATCCGGCACCCCCCGTTCCCTATGGGTGCCTGATAACAAAGCTTTTGCTGTAATTTACTGTCCAGGTTCTTAAGTTTCAAGATTCTTTGGACCAAGAAACTGAGAAATAGTTTTGTTTGCAAAAGTTTTAAAAATTCTGGTTCTGGCAATAGACTCTTTTAGGAAGATCATAGTTGTAAATGATGTGTATTTATTTTGCTTTCAAATAAAGCAAAAAGCGTAGTATTTATAGTTTCATAGTTTCTAGGGTCGGAAGGGACCTGAGCAGATCATCTAGTCCGACCCCCTGCCATGGCAGGAAAGAGTACTGGGGTTAAACGACCCCAGCAAGGTGTTCATCTCACCCCTTCTTAAAAACCCCCAGGGTAGGAGCTGCACCACCTCCCTTGGAAGTTGGTTCCAGAACCTAGCCACCCTGACCGTGAAATAGCACCTTCTGATGTCTAACCTAAACCTACCCTCTGCTAGCTTGTGACCATTGTTCCTGGTCACTCCTGGCTGTGCTCGGGGGAACAGTGACTCCCCCAATGCCTTCTGATCCCCCCTGACCAGTTTGTAACAGGCCACAAGATCCCCCCTCAGCCTTCTCTTGTGGAGGCTGAACAGGTTCAGGTCCCGTAGTTGTTTAGTTGTTGTTTTTAAAATAAATCAAGGGTTTGAAATTGAGTCTGAGTTTTGCAGTACCTCTAATAGGTTTGAGCATTGAGAGTGTGTCAGGAAGGCAGAGATTTTAGTAGGCAAAGCAACATGAGGTTTTGAATAACAGTTTTAGTGTAGACCAGTGGTCTGCAACTTTTTTAAGAAGGCCTGAACAACCCGTCTCCAGTCTGTTGCAGGCATAGGCAGAGAAGTTGTTTCAGAGCAATGCAGCTTCCAGCTGTGCCTGTGCCACTGCCACTTCTCCATGCTCCCCTCACCCCTGCCTGCATTGCAAACACAGCTTCTAACCCATGGGGAGCTGCCCCAGGGGTGAGCAGATTTCAGCTGTGCCCACACTGCAGCTGGGATGTGGTAGGGGAGAGGGGAGGAACAGAGAAACAGAGGCATTATGGGTGCAGTTTGCAGCTCTCTAGCCCTGGAGCTTTTCCCCCACTGGCTGGAAGCTGAGCCTGCACACAGCCTGGGTAGGGGAGAAGTAGCAGTGGTTGGACACAAGCAAAGCCCTCCAGCTTCATAGGCCAGATGTTAACACTGACTCCTGGTTAGATAGGGAAAAGGTTAAAAGTTGAATTTCAGAGGAAGGATGCAACAATAAGTGGCTCTGGTTTGGATGTTCAGATATAAAGAAAAAGTTAGGATTAAAAGTTAAGTCTGCCACTTTAAAAAGAATTGCAAACAGAAAACCCAGATCCCTTGTAATAAACTATAGAATGTTAAGAATAGAGTTAAAATGGAAGTTTTCAAATTACTTGAATTATTTATGTGAAAGGCAAGGATTTTTATGGGTGATATTTTTATTGGACCACCTTTTTCCCCAACCATGCAGTTGGTCCAATAAAAGAATGTCATCCACAAAAATCCTTGGTTTTGCAAAGTTCCTAGACCATCACAGCTTCAGCATCATTCCAATGCTACAAAAACACTGAATTATTTATGTTGATCTAATTTTACATTTTTCTCTCAATTTGGACAGTGGGAAGAAAAAAGTCCAAACTTTGCTATTTATGCATGATCCATTTTCACTTTTAAAGTCCTTCATGCTACAATATTTGGGCTACATACATGGCAGGGTAAAGTTAAGTATTAGAAGATGTCAGAGAAGTAAAGATGTGGAATCCGAGTCTCAAGATAGATATATATGTAAAAGTGGGATAGTAGTGATAATTAAAGCCATTGGTGTACTTGAAATTCTGAAGTTTCTAAAGATGGGGCTTTGCAGGCAGCCCATGAAAAGTGGTAGAGACTCAAAAAAAAAAAAAAAAAAAAAAAAAAAAAAAAAAAAAAAAAAAAGGCATTACAAGGACACAAGTCAAAAATAAAATTGGTTGTTGTGTTAGAAGACTGACTGTCAGTCATCTGCTAGACAAGAGATGGAATTAGGTGCCCTTAGAATTTGCTGTGAAGGTGTTTAGAGACCTCCAAAGAGGTCTTTGCAAAAGCTTCCGAAGAAAGCTGTTTCAGTAGAGAGGACATGGTGGAAATCAGATTACAAGAGACCAAGATAAATTCTCCAACTCTGAAGCAACAGGTGTGAGGGGTAAATGCAGTGAATTCAGAGAAGGGTAAATAAGTTAGTAATTGAAGAAGAGAGGGAAAGTGAATATGGGAGGGCTTTCAAGTTGAGGAGAACTTTTATGACACCGCTGATTTCTTTATTTTTTTTAAATAAAAGGAGTCAAAAAGATCAAACTTCTCAATCTTCTCTGTTGCATATCTGAATATGAAAATTTGTGTGATCTTTCAGGAGGAAGTGACAGCAGAGGAGAGCACTGATGGTGAGGTAGAAACTCAAACATATAACCAAGATTCCCAAGATTCCATTGGAGAAGTAAGCAAACTATAAATCTTAATTTTAATTGCAGCACAAACAGCCCTTCCCTACAACTGGGATTTGATACAGTGCTAACCTCAGCACAGTATATCAGTTTTAGTTATTGTTTAACAAAACAAAAGTATTTGATGGTGGTGTTATCTTTGTGAAATCACAAATGTAATTAAGGCAATTTTAGAGGAAATCCGCTTATATAGCCTAAAGCAATTGTAGGGTTAGAACTTCTACTCGAGCCCTGTATATTTAAATTTTTATTGCAATTTTAATTTATTTTACTACTTACTGCAGTTTTCACATACCAAGTAATACACAAAGTAATATTTTGTAATCTATATTTGTTTGTTACATTTTCAATGTGCTGTTCTCCTGTCTTCTGAGTTATGTCAATGCCATTAGCTGCATTTCACATACGGAGAGATTTGAAAAATAAGGGTAGTTGAGTCATTATCTAAGCCACATCTGGGGTTGCAAAGTTCGTTGTTTGTTCTTTGAAACACCACTTTTTTCATTTTATACTGTACCTTGTTGTAGAAACTTCTTATATAAGTATTTGATCAAGTTTCAACCAGGAAGGAAGCTGCATTGGGTTACAAAAAAATAGAAGGAACTTGTCCGTTCTCCTGTCTCACTGCTCAAGAAAATCTTACCTTATGTCTGCGCCTGTCAACTTTCTATCTTATACTTGCCTTGGATTCAGTTTTTCTCTGACCAGTGGAGGCCATGGGTCTTTTTCCTGTTCTTTTTCTTTATAACTTTACACATTTCATCTTTAGTGTAGATCTTCCTGAGGTATCTTTTCTTCCACCAGTGTTTCCAGACTTTCTTAAATAGACTTTTACAGAGAACTCAGTGTAATTACTAGTGTCCAGTTATTTTCATTGCTGATCAGTCAGACACAAAGACATTGAATGACTTGCTGTTTAGAAAATAGCTGCATCTAGCTCTTACACTTAAATGGGCCTGGGTGCTGAAGAATGTAGATTCTGAATTTGAACAAAAAAATAAATGTGCTATTGTATCTGAAAACCAATATCTTTATCAAGATTTAACAGATTCAGTTTAAATTCTTTACATTCTTAAATTCTTTTAATGCAGTTCTTGCAATGCTAAATAAGAACCACAGCAAACTGTTTTGATCATTTTTTTTGTAACTGGCTATTAACTGATGGCCCTAAAGAGGTCTTGTCTGTCTGGAGTAGCAACAGAGAAGTAATCCAGAGTTGGTGAGTCTTACAGAAGAAATTTTTGTCAAAGGTCCTTGTCACACTTCTGACTTTTAGGTTAGCCTGTACCAGGTTAGTAAGATTGTCAACTTCCAGTGTAATTTGTGTCCACGCTCCAAGTATATTAAAACTTCCAGAACTTAACAGCAGAAACTAATGTTTTTCCTGTGGTAGCAGTAGAGTTTGCTTCTGTTTCAGTTGTCTTGCTATTCTTTTTTTGCAATGTTGACAGGCCGATTTACCCAGACTGGTAACTGATTTGGCAGAATCTTCTTCTAACTGTGTGTGTCAAGAAGATGGGATCAGGAAATACAAATGATCTCTCTGTGTTTGGGGAAGGCAGTTGGCTATGTTAGTCTGAAGTCAAGCAGGATAGATTTCTGCTTGATTTTAGACCTAAAGATTTAGATCTTTATGAATTAAACAAAGCATAGATGCATAACTTAAGCTTTCTTAAGCCATGGGCTTACTTCATCAAATTTTATTTATGAAAATTTATAGTATGCAGCTTTGATTTAGCTAAATCTATAAGATGCAAATCTACTCTGCTTTCCTCCCTAAATATAGCCATCCCTTCTTGCTGCATTCCTCTGGATATGTGATCCTTGCTCGGGTATCACAGTCACTTAGATCAAGGGTGCTCAACTCCAGCCTGTGACCCAGATGTAGTCCCCAACACTGTGTCTTCCAGCATGCATGTTAGGTCCTGTATGCATGGTCCTGCATGCTAGATTAGGTGCTTAAGGAAGCAAAGGGCCCTGGTCCTGGCACATGGGATTGGGCAGTGGGTTAGCACAGGGCCCCAGTCCTGGCACATGGGGCAAAGACTGGCCCACAAAATGGCCTTGTGCCATTCATCTGTCCTATGGAGCCAAAACATTGAGCACCATTGACCTAATCATCCCAAACTGCTTATTAGTTAGCAAAAATAAGATGTGGCAACCACTTCAGATGAGTCTCAGAGACAGATTCCAAAAAAACAACTATATAACAAAAGGTGGGCCTCTAACGTAGCTTCAGGACCTGAAATAGTAGCATTGCTGCTTTTAAGAGTACTCAGGTCAAACTTTACAGTTGAATGGGATTTCAGTTTGATTTAAGTGCTCCGCTGATAAATCTTTTTGGAAGTATGTATATAAGATATCACTTGTTTACTTTAAACTTTTAATTTTTTTTAAGGGGGTGACACAGGGGGAATACACTCCCATGGAAGATAGTGAAGAAACTTCTCAGTCTATCCCAATAGATATTGGACCTCTTCAACCAGATCAGCAGAATACCTCGTCATCCCAAGAATGTCAGTCCAAGCGAGATGACGTCATAGTGATTGACAGTGATGATGAAGAGGATGATGATGAAGAAAATGAAGGCGAGCAAGAAGTATGTGTAACGTACAGTTACTTAATTTGCAGCTTTAAATACCTTTTGGCAAACAGCTTGTTCTGGTTACCAATGGGAAATGAAATACGTCCCTAAAAACCACATTATCCAAATTTGTTACATAATAAACAGAAGAGTAAGTGCATCTTTAATAATTCTGTGCATCTTTTAATTTGTTTGACCAGAATTGTAAATGTGAACTTTCACAATGATGCATGAAAATGTAAACACGCAACTTCTTTTAATTAAGATTCTGCATCTTTTTCTACAGATACATTTTTTTTTAAAGATTTTTCTTGAATAGTGCTAAAAATTCATTGCAAAACAATTTTAAAATTGAACAAAGCATTTTTTGTAAATGAAAATATATAAATATAAATTATTTTGGATATAAAGTACTTGGTATTTATTTGGGCTCTCAAAAAAAAAAATAGCACTCAATATATTATAATGGCATTAAATTCCTTGAATTTTGCTTCTGTTGATATAAAACTAATTTATATTACCATTCTACTCTGAATTCCCAGTCAGGAGCTGAGCTTACTTATGCTAGGCACTTAACATGGCTGCTTTAATGGCATTGTATGTGTAATCAAATACATCTTCTTGCTGCTTTGTGAAATGATTTGCCAGTCCTTTTGGGGCTTCCTTAAATCTGTTTTTTTTTCCTGCTCTCATAGGATTATGAGGATGAAGAAGAGGATGATGAAGATGACGATGAAGACCCAGGCATGGGAGATGAAGGTGACGATAGTAATGAAGGAACAGGCAGTGCTGATGGTAATGATGGATATGAAGCTGATGAGGCTGAGGTAAAAGTAGCAGTTTTATATACATCTATGAAATCTCTTGAAGGTAACTGATATGTTACCTTGTTCATACAGTATTCAAAAGAGAAGACTTTAAGTTGATCTAGACTATTCTGATAGTCTCATTGTGACTTTTCACATGAGTGAAATACAGTTTTAATTGTGCAGAAAGCAGCTATGTTAGTCTGAAAGTCAGGCAGAAGGCAGGGTAGAGGAACACTTTACAGACAGATTCATTTGGTCATTTCAGCATGTTGAGAGGGTTAGGTAAAATATGAAGTACAGAAGACAATAGATACTACTATTGTGGTGGTTGATCTTTGAGATTAGCCAAACAGCTCGTGCGACACTTGAGTATTTTATGCAAGAAGTGGCATTTTATTAGTTTACTGGGCAAAAGTAATTTTGATATATATGTTGGCTTTCAAAACATAATGTAGTTATGTATATTTATACAGATTTTCTTTGTAGTGATTTACTGTATTAAGCTCCCAGATTTGATCTATCTTAAGGTGATGTTTTTTTCATGTTATATTGGGTGCTTTTGCAGAGAATCACCAGTATACATGCATGTATTTTTAGGGTGCTGATGGTACAGATCCTGGAACTGAAACTGAAGAGAGTATGGGAGCAGGTGAAAGCAACCAGAGAGCAGCAGACTCGCAAAACAGTGGTACACTATCAATGTTTTCTCCAAAAAAAATGCTTGTTGGAGGGCAAAACTGAAAAGTTGGGAAGTTGTTATTAGAGACACTACTTAAAAAAAAATTATTTTGGGTGGGAACTGATTCTTCTTAAACCTGCAACCATGTCACTTTGGAATGTGCTCCAATGAAATTCCAAAGCTAAGGAACATTGGGTGTGTTCAGTACAGTACTTGTCTAGATTTTAAAAAAAAAAAGAACTCCAGCTGCTGCAAAAAGTGCTGTTAATGATTCAGTAGTTGACCATCTTCCTTCTGAGTCACTGCTGAATAACTGTCTGTTTTAGTGTGAACAGGGGCCGAGCTCATAAGTGCTATTCAGCAAATTTACTTATTAAACAATTGTCGCAGATCAGCTGCTACTTCTTGCTGGAGTAGAAATGTGTATGTTAGTGCATTAATAAAAGTAGTTGTTTGGCTGTCCTTTCTAAACATTACTTCTCAAGATGTACAGTTCAGGGTTGAAGGGTTTCTACAAGTATGTGAGTAACAAGATGAAAATTGGGGGAAGTGTGGGTCCCTTACTGAATGGGGAAGGCAACCTAGTGACAGAGGATGCAAAAGAGGCTGAAGTACGCAATGTCTTTGTAACATCAGACTTCACACGCAAGATCAGCTCCCAAACTACTGCACCTGGCAGCACAGTTTGGGGAGGAGGTAGTGAGCCAACCAACAGTGATGAAAGAACAGGTTAGGAACTATTTCAAAAAATTGGACATGTACAGTGCCATGGGGCTAAATGGGATACACCCAAAGGTGCTGAGCAAGTTGGTTGATGTGATTGCAGAGACACTGGCCATCATCTTTGAAAACTTAGGACTATCGGGAGAGGTCCCAGATAACTGAAAAAGGGCAAACATAATGCCCATATTTAAGAAAGGAAAAAAGGAGGATCCAAGGGATTACAGACCAGTCGACCTCACCTCAGTCCCTGGAAAAATCATGGAGCAGATCTTCATGGAATCCATTTTTAAAGAGTTGGAGGAGTAGGTGATTAGGAACAATCAGCGTGATCAGCACCAAAATTGTCCTACCTGACCAACCTTATTGCCTTCTATAATGAGAAGACTGGCTCTGTGGATGCAGGGAAACCAGTGGATGTGATAGTGTGTACCCAAAAGCTTGTGAAGTAGAATGTTGCCAACTATTTTAGTTGGTCTTATGAAAAATATCAGATTTACCCAGAGAACCTTGTCTGTGTTGATTTTTAGCAAGGCTTTTGCTATGGTCTCCCACAGCATTCTTGCAGGCAAGCTAAGGAAGCACAGGCTCGATGAACGGACTGTGAGGTAGGTAGAAAACTGGCTGGAACATCAGGCTCATAGGGTAGTAATCAATGGCTTGATGTCTAGTTGGAAGCCAGTATCAAGTGGAGTGCCCCAGAGGTCAGTCCAGGGTCTGGTTTTGTACAATATTTTCATCAGTGACCTGGAAGATGGCATACAGTGTACCCCCAGCAAGTTTGCAGATGATGCCAAGTTGGGGGACTAGTAGATACGCTTGAGGGTAGGGCTAGGATTCAGAGAGACCTAAACAAATTGGAGGATTGGACCAAAAGGAATCTCATGAGGTTCAACAAGTACAAAGTCCTGCACTTAGGACGGAAGAATCCCATGCACCAGTACAGGCTGAAGGCTGACTGGCTGGGCAGCAGCTCTGCAGAAAAGGACCTGGGGGTTACAGTGGACAGTAAGCTGAATAGGAGCCAAGTGTACCCTTGTTGCCAAAAAGGCTAATGGCATACTGGGCTGCATTGGTAAGAGTGTTGCCAGCAGGCTAGGGGAAGTGATTATTCCCCTCTATTCAGCACTGGTGTAGACAGATCTGGAGTACTGTGTTCAGTTTTGGGCTCCACCCTACAGAAAGGATGTGGGAAAACCAGAGAGAGTCCAGCGGAGGGCAGCGAAAATGGTTCAGGGGCTGGGGCACGTGACATATGAGGAGAGGCTGAGGGGATCGGGCATATTTAGTCTAGAGAACAGAAGACTGAGAAGGGATTTTAATAGCAGCCTTCACTACCTGCAGGGTGGTTCCAAAGAAGATGGAGCTAAACTGTTCTCTGGTGGCAGATGACAGAACAAGAAGCAATGGTCTCAAATTGCAGCAAGGGAAGTTTAGGTTGGATATTAGGAAGAATTTTCTCACTAGGACGGTAGTAAAGCACTGGGACAGAGAGGCAGTTGAATCTCCATGCTTGGAGGTTTTCAAGACCCAGCTAGACAGACCCTTGGCTGGGATGATCTGTTTGGGGATGTTCCTGCTTTGAGCAGGGGGTTAGACTAGATGACCTTCTGAGGTCCCTTCCAACCCTAATTTTCTATGATTCCATTCTGGTGATGGGTGAAATGATCCATATGGTTTGTAAAATACTGTGATAACTAACTTTTTTTAAAAGTTTA